TTTCATAAAGATTCCTTCAATTCGATTATTACTTCAAATTTAAAATCTTATCCTTCAGAAAAGTACTATATGGGAAAACCTTTATTTCAAAGCGGGTGTTCCGCAAGGCGGCATTCTTTGTCCTAATCCCTATTAATTATGTACTGCAGACACTATCAATCCTGTGTATTCTTCGCAAATGCATGCGCCAGATTTTCAGCAGCCCCATACGTTGCATTGACCTTGAAAAACTTCCAGAACCATCTCTCCTGTTTGGAAGACTTGTTCAACAAATATAGGATAAAACTATGACGAACGAAACCAAATTGCAACAAATCTTCACTCACTCTCCAATCTACTACAACTCTGCTGCGTCCTCAGCTACCAATGTCGTTCGCTATTTAGCATTTCATGGCGAAAAAAGATTTATTCGGAAAGCCCACATTCGACACAAAAGAACCGAACTGAAGAGGCAGTACAGCAAAATTTACTTTAAAACAAATAGAAACTATCACTACAAAACATACTCCTGACTTACAAATCACTTTTTCGCATTACTATCTACACAGATAATCAAATCTCATTTTTCTTCAAAACCGCAGAAATTCGACAGTCGCAAGGTATTTATGTAAACTAATTTAAATACAGTTCATATAAATTGAGAATTTACTCTAGTTATATTAAAGAATCTTTAGGCTGTTAAATTTACATGTATTAACTTTTGTCCTCGAAGAACTGCGGTGAGATAGTTTGGTACGACAATAATACATTAAAATACAAACATTCCAGATTGTTGACCCATATCTTGAGGCGCCTGAGATTTTGAAATATATAAGGATCGTAAATATTGTTACTAATTTTATAAATTAATTAATGCATGTAAGTAAACGCGAAATATATATTAAAGGAAACAACAATAGATTGGTGGAACTAAACATCCAAACAGCTCCATCAGCTGAAAGTGGATGAGCCCTGCTCCACTGAGAGTAGGTGAACGACCCGACGACTTTTCTTTCTCTTAAGCTGGACTGTAACACATCTAGGGAGCTCTAATAAGTGCGTTGCCCCCTTTTGGCGTTGTTTTTCGCCATTTTTACTTTTCACCATTACCAGCGGCCGTGCGCCGCGCCGTTTCGGAATTTCTCGACTGTAACGGGCCCGGAGGAAAACGAAACCCGATTCCGTCGCTCGAGGGCCCCGATGGACGCATTTACAAGAATCTGGGCCCATCTCGATATTTTCAGAACTTTGGCTACAATTCGTGGAAGTATCCAGCTTTTCTAGACGGTTCAAACTTTTAACCATAAGATATTTTCATTTAATTATATTAGAAAAAACTCCTGGAAAATATTGTTTCACCAAGTGATTAATGGCCTCCCGAAGCCTTAAAAGTATTACAACTCTCTATAATGACCGCCTACATAGACGAATGTTCAAAGAAACATCTATAAGTGCTAACCAAGTATAAGAGTGGTATATTAAAATTATAGCCTTATACGTTTGCTACTTTTGGCAGATAAACTTCCCCACAAGCTGTTAATAAATTGGGATTTTTATTATTATAATAGGTTTTTTCCTCAAAATAGCACTCGCAAGAACGTTTTGATTTTCTTATTGATTTGGCAAATTGTCATATGTCAATATCAATTCATATTATTGCAATATGTGCTAATATATGCTTATTTCTCCCGATCACAACACTGACACTGTGGCCAGCACTTTACCTGGAGGACACAGGCTAAAAGAAACCAGTCTAGGCTTAATCTCATTAATAGAGATTAAGAATCGTTTAGGGCAACAGGGTGGATACCCGAGAAGGGAAAGTCTAATGTAAGCTTGGGATGGACCTTTTGGTAGAGGGATAGGATCAGTTCATTGACAAAAAGGATGTTGAAGTCGTTGTGGAATGCTGTTAGTGACATAGTAAGAAAGTTTGATATTTATGTGATGAATTTTTGTTGGAAGTATTAGATTCACGTAAATGGGATGATTTGGCGATAACCAACAGTTGCATTCTGTATGTTCAACTGTAATGAATTAAATCAACTTAGTTAAGCTTATACGGACAAAACTAATTTCAATCTTAAAAGTTTTCTGGGTGTTCCAAGTCTTCTGTTATGTTGGCGTCTCTTAAGGTTTGTATAAGGTTCTACGTCAGCCTGCTGTCTAAAGGTCCTAAGTAATAGGTTGTAACTTGGGTCGGTAGTTTATTAGAGTTTAGGTATAGTGAGGTAAAAAAAATTTTTCAATATAAATGAACACTGGGATCTTTCTTATTTTATCATTTTGTCTTGTCTTCCAATTTTTGCACCAGTCTTTGATCAAGGTGTTTTCGGATTTCGAAAGTCAGTTGGATAGAATTCAAGTTAGACGACAAAGTGTCAACAGCAAAGTTCAAGTTGATGTTAGGGTGTACAGGAAAGATAGGATAAAATACATGGTACAAAGTAAGGTACCAAGAACACTACCTTGTGGGATACCGGATCAAATAATCTATTGTAATGTATACATCATCATCATCATAGCATAGCCTTGAGGAAGGTCAAATATAGTTCGAAAGTTTGGCAATGGATTTCACAGATGACCGGTCACAACCATGACGTCTATCCTAAGGTTAATAAAAAAATTAAAAAAACAATCTGGGACCAAAAGTCCCCATTTCCTTGTCACCCCTACAATAATCCATTTGTAACTTTAAAACGGTTTAAGCTAATAAATATTTTAATTCTTTTTTAAGTTAATTTTAAAAGTTTAAGAATTTGTTTAAAACAATATTTTGACTCCTGAATGTTTTCCATCAATTTCATCAAAAAGTAAAAATATCGTTTCTATGTGTTTCCCATTGTGAAATTTCCGACAAAACTCTTTAATTTAAAAACAAATCAATGTAGACCTGTATAAAAATATATTTGACTGCAAGTATTTAACTATTCTTCTTGCAATTCTTTTATTAACGATTACAAACAATCAATCTATATTTTGAAAATTTGGGATTTATTGGAGTGATTAATTTTGTGATCAAGAAACAAGTACATAAGGAATATTTTTTAATGAATTATTGTTTGTTAAAAAACAATTATTTGAACTTTGAATAATATTTTGCATCGTTATTAATTTATGATTATTTTACCTACACCCATACACAATCAATGTAGAAAGTAATTTCGTTTAGTTTAGGCGTAGGTTCGACTAAGCTTGTAAGACCGCCGTACGTTGAAAAATAGTCGGGTTTTTATAAAGAAATTCAGGCTGAATGAATTGTGTGATCAACAGTAATTTTTAAAAGTGAATCTACTAATGAATTTTGGGGATATTGCAATTGATTTAATTTTTGTCGAAACTTTGTTTGTTTTGTAATTATATTGTTGGCTCCTATAAATTTTTGCAGAAAGAGAAGTGGATAAATTCCAGTATGCCTTTACGCCTGTCAGACCCTACAACTGAATAAGTCGAGGATAAAATAATTTCCTTTCAAGTGTAATGTTCATTTGGATTTTTGCATAACAAAAACTATGACAACTTGACCATTTATAGAATCAAATAACTCACACACTGAAATAAAATAAGTGTAAATTTCTTATAAATCTTTATATAGATGCGACAAAGCGATATGTTTCTTTTCCTTATTTTATTAGTATTTGTTCGTTGGAAACAATTTTACCCGCCTATCAAAGCAAAAGTATACGTCAATAACTTCATAAATAAATAAATAAATTTTTAACAAACTATATAAGTGTCTGTGCATAATGTGACAAGTACCACAAAGTCAAGATATAATTAAATAAATTAAAATCCTATATATTTATTACACTGAATTTGATGATATGAGAGCACAATAAAATAATTACTTCAAAAATTGAATTGCTACCAAAGGTTTAAACTTGAAAACTTCAATTCTGAAAGGTTTTTTTGACTTATTATCAAGTTTTTTTAAATTGTACAATTCATTTCAGGTTTCAGATAAAAAAATAATTTGTATTGAATTTCATGCTTACAAAATACAAATAAATATAATTTATTTACGGTTATTTGCCGCATGAGCGAATCGAATTTTTTATATTTTTTATTTATTTTGTTTTAGATGCTTACAATTTTGTCCTAGACTTCTTTGTTTTCACATTCATCTTAGAAATTGTTTCAGAACTCATAGCTTTTCTTTTCACCGACTTTTTTGTTTCCTTGCTTTGGATGTTATTGTAAGTGTAACTCCAAGATATTTGTTCACTCTTTCAAAAAAAAACAAAAAACGCCAAGGTGCGTTTGGCAAGGTCGACAGTCAGATTCTTTTTAAACAATAATCTAATAATTTTTATATTTATCTATAAATTTAAACTAAGAGCTAAAAACCAAATATCATCTGCATATAACTTTAAGTTTTAACTTTAGTGTTGCCAATCCGAGCACCAGCGACATGGACAAGGTCGATTATTAAAATTGGAGAAAAAGGATAGGATTTAAAATAGATCCCTGCCTAACTCCAGAACTGATAGAGAAGAAATCAGAAATTACCTCTTTATCCCTATGAGCGGAAATGGCATCTCGAATTAAACTTCTACGGGTGTTAATTACTTCGAATGAAATTCTTAAATTGCCTTGATCTAATAAAGAAATTTAATTAGATTAATAGGTCTTTTGTAATAATACGTACCATCATAATATATTTTACATGCTTTATTGTTTTTTGTACTCTTTTGTGCAATAATTTATTTTTGTTAGATTTCATTTAATGAAGTCTTAAAAGTTCTCTGCCTGTTAATTTTATTTTTAATCGTTTCATTATTTACATTTTTTTTATGTATATGACTTCCGCGTCCGGCAGTCGGTTTCTTACCATGTCGTATAATGTTCTTGTGCTTTTGGATTTTTTAACATTTTCTTTTTTATAATGAACAAAGCTTATTATTATAATTTACAAAAGGATCAGCTTCAACATAATATTTTATGATAAAGAAGGCGGTACTAGCAATAAAGTAGTGCAAATTTAAAAAATAATATAATTTACAGATTCATTTACATTTACATGTATAAAATGTACAATAATATTAAAGAATAATCTTTTAAGAAAATAGATGGAGAGTCAGTTTTTACTATAATCCAGAATTTTGTCATTTTAATATATTATGTACAATTTAACTTACAACAACCAATTTTGTTTATTCGTTGTATATATCATGCCAAAGTTTTCTTTATGGAGTGTTGTGTAAAAAAAACAACGCAGATCTATTTGTAAACATTAAGTTCTCAGTTGCTCGTATTATTTTTAGATACGTTAGTCTAAATTTTACAACTTTTGGCACGTAAATCTTATATGTTAGAACGATTCTAAGTGTAAACTTTAATTACTGATTTTTTGTTTTAACAATTTTTAAAATGCGCATAATTTTTTTCAAATTCTTTACCATTCCCTGAATGTATCGATCAAAATGGTTCCCTCCTTAGAATAAATTGCATGGTTCGTATCTATATGAATAATTGTGCTTGGTTTCGAGCTTTCTTTATAAAGTACATGCATGGATTTAAGATCAATAACGTAATATCCACAATACATTTCCCAGTCAAGTCGGATAGCGACGTAAAGATGTTCCCTTCCTATGAAATAAAGCTTGGCCTGAGCGATGGACTTTATGTTGAGGTCTAATTTTTGAAGGGTATTATTCTTGACATCTTGTAAATATACTTTTATTACCGAGTTCGCTTTTTCTTGTGACACATATGCGAATTTGTTTTCTCTTCCGTGCACTTTGAAACCATAAGGCCTGCGAGTATTATAGGATTTCTTCTTGCCAGTTTTGGTGTCCCAGGCAAGGAAACTGTATTGGTGTTCTACGCAAATCAGTGCGACTACTAAGTCTTTGTTGGACTTGATCCCTATTAACGATTCGGCTGGGAGATCGAAATGTTCGAGATATAAGTCGGCATTGAAACCAGCGATTTGCGTGTCGCTGATCATCATGTACATGCGATGATAGTCATTAAAAAAGAAATATCTATTGTAGAGACAAATTTCAGTAACTTCAACGTCATCTTTTATCATGCACGTGAATAGAGAATGGCGAGCGAGGATGACTATTAGACCGTCGATAACGCAGCATTGTAGTGCGATTGGATGGCCGTACGGTTCGTAAAATTTCTGGGCGAATATATATCTGTTTTCATGTCTCAGCATGTAGCCTTTGAACTGGAATAATATGCCTTGCCTGATGTAAATTGTAAAAATGTCCCCTTGTCTTATCACTAAGACGCCTTTGGCTAAGTGCAGGGAGGTCAGGTTATTCCGTGACGTTAGCTCTATCGTCTGCACATAGTCAGGGCTCATCCCAGAAATATCGAACACGAATACCAAACCCGAAACGTTCGTGAAGATGAGGCTGATGCCGTCGCTGCAAATGGTAGATTTGCAGCATGAGCTTAGTAAAATTTGTTTCTTCGTGCCGTTCCTCCAGTTGATGATCCTTCGTTTCGCATACTTCAGGTACGCATTGCCCCATTCGACCATCGGCTCCAGTGCTCCAACTGAAAAATATCTGATTTTTAGATACAGACGAAAAACAACAATTTTTTATACAACTATAAATTAAAGAGTGTAAAACGTAAATTGACATTTTAAAGGAAGAAACATAATTTAGAAAATTTTTTCGATATATTATTTACATATCAACAGTACAAAAGACTCGTTCTGGCTGCAATAATAAACTAAAACGAAAGATTTTATGTAATCCAAATATAGCATTTGTAAACATTTGCAATATACATGTATAATAATCAGCCATTTTATAATTTTCCTATTCTAATTAATAATTTTAATTTAAAATTAAACATAAAAATTATATAACGAAGACAACATGCAGAGAAAAATGATCATTGTTAAGATATCTTCAATAAATACGGAAGTGTCCATTCAAAAATCTATTGTATCAATAAAAGGCTCTTATCTACCGAATTCTGATGCAAGATTTAATTTACTTTATAAATCCTTTCAGTGATGTTGAATAAAATTTTGATACGGCTTTAGGTTACACTGACTACTGTACGTACCAGCATTTACAGCATAAAAAAGCTTGATTTTTGCTTTTCAGTATATTTTCAAATCAATATATTTTGTGAGGTGTTTAGTTACCGTTAGTTAATGATTATTTGAAGATCGCGAGATGGGGTCTGGTGTGCGTAGGCTTTAGAAAAACGCGCGCGCGCGCGCGTGTGTGTGTGTGTGTGTGTGTGTGTGTGGTGATTAGTGACCGTTAATCAATAATTATTCAGAAATCGTGAAATGCGGTCTGGTGTGATAGGTTTCAGAAAAACATTTTCTTTATCGTGCCACGTTTCGATCTTTATTGAGATCATCTTCAGGGCCTGGGATTTACAAACATTGTTTGCATTTAACAAATACATTTATGATGTGGAAAAGTGTGTGGAAATCACACCAGACCGCATCTCACGATTTCTGAATAATAATTAATAATTTTAGAAAAACATTTTCTTTATCGTGCCAACGTTTCGATCTTTATTGAGATCCTCTTCAGGGCTCAATGTGCTTGTTTTCTGTGTAGATTTGTCATTATTGTGTGCCAAACATTTTGAGCCCTGAAGATGATCTCAATAAAGATCGAAACTTTGGCACGATAAAGAAAATGTTTTTTTAAAACCTACCTCACACCAGACCGCAACTCACGATCTTCAAATAATCTATTTAGTTTGTTGAAGTTGTGAGGAGAAGTCAAGAATGGGATAGTTTAGAAAAACACCTATTCCATTGTTTTGCTGACGTTTTGACCTTTCTTCGGATCATCTTTTGGAGCTTGTTTTATCTACATTTTATTAACAAAATCCATCGATTTGTAGCAGCTCCTAGTTTCTTCTGGTTTCTTGCTATGCTTTTTAGTGTGAAAGTGGCTTTATGGCCACCATGTTTGATGGTGATATGTTCGAAAAAACCCATGTTGTTATGTAATTCTTCACGGGTAGAAATTTGTATTTCTTAGGGACCGATCGTACAATAATTTTTTGAAGTCGTGAGGAGCGGGCAAAAATGAGGTAGTTTAGAAAGAACCTTTTTCATTTTTGTTTCTTTTACCAACAGTAGAGGTTATATCAACCCTCGGGGTGCCGGTGTTTTTTAAAAAAAGTAAGTATGTCGGGTTCGAAATCAGGGCCGCTGGATTCGAACCTGGAAACTTTACCTTACAGTGATGAGCGCCGTGTCAACGCCTAAACTGTTGCGGCCACAGACGGCCCCATAACAACAAATAAACAACAGATCACTAAAAAACTTTTTTTATATCTTTTTTTTAACTGTGAGGTTTCTAATATATAAAAGAGGAGCTAGTGATTTGGGACCACCGATTTTATTTATTTATTTATTTTTGCTTTGTTTTGGTGACGCAAGTTCGAAAAATACAGACACTAGTCCAAGAATTCTTGCCAATGTATTCTAGGCAACGAGAAAAATATATTAAGCAATGGTAAAATATACGTTTTCTGCCTTTCTTCTTCTTGTATATCAACGTATTTTATGTTTAATCTAGGTTAAGAAAATAATAAGTAGGATTGTTGAAATGACTGAATAAGTTGAATGCGTTGAAATATATGAAAAGTTACAAAAACCAAAATACACCTCCAATAAAGTAGACGTAAAAATTATTTTTGAAAAACAGAACAAAAACGGACTCCTTTTAACCACCTCTTATTATCCTTAAGTAAGAAGTTGTACCGTAATTAAAAAATAATACATTTTTGGGCTCGATTCGCCGAGGGGAAATTTCGTTTTTTGCCGATGTCCAAGGTTCCACTTAAAAACTCACAAATCTTCTGATTTTGATCTAAATTGGAAGTTTATTCTACTGACGGAAAGTAAGACATTTTTTTTCTTTCCGTCTATGTCAACAAACATTTACATTCTATTTATTTCCAATTTATTTGATAAAAATAATTTTGAAATTTAAAACAAAAACTGCTCGAACGTTTTATTTTATTTCTTCGGTTCTGGTGTATTTCCTGAGGCTAAGTTTATGCCATACCTGTAATGGTTCGATTTTTGTAATTTTTGAGAAAACAAATAATTTAAAAAAATCAAGTTTGCATTTTCTTATAAAAAAATTTCAAAGTAGGTATTTTTCTGGCCAAAAACAAAGTTGTTATTTATTTTAGTTATATTTTTTTTTTCATACCAAAAAACTACATATTCTGGAAGAAACCAAAAAATATTTTTTCCTCGAAAATTTCCGCCTTGCAAATGCCTATTTGAGAGTGCTAAAGGGCGCTTAAAACTAATCCGGATAAAAAAAAGTTTTTGAAGCTACTTTACTGGAAGCTTATTTTGGTTTTTGTAACATTTTAGATATTTCATGCTGCTTATTATTTTGTTAACCGAGGTAAAACAAATCCGGTTTTTATAATAANAGAGAGAGAGAGAGAGAGAGAGAGAGAGAGAGAGAGAGAGAGAGAGAGAGAGAGAGAGAGACAGACAGACAGACAGACAGACAGAGTGAGAGAGAGAATGTGTAAATATTAAGTAACTGATGGCAATACAATACTGCAAGTTGATAAAACAAGTCTAACAAGCACTAGGACATTTATTAAGAACTGTAGATGGAAGCAGTAAGTGACCCAGTGCTAATTCAACTTTAATTAAAAACGAGAGAGAAAAAACACTCAGGCTGAAGGTGAAAAGCCCACCAATCTGGAATTACAGACATTATCTAATGGATTCATTTTTTAAAAGTAAATAGTAAACAGCAAACAACTGTTGGCCATACCTCTTTAATCTAATTAGGCTGATTCTCATTTTACGTACTATTGTTTTTTAATTCACAGAACTAATAAATTCATTAAATCTTTTCTCGTTTATTTACCTCGATGTTCATACTCCGGTTCGCACACTATCTCTTTCGCGATGCAGATTGTCTTCCAGAGATGATTCGAGTTGGCATACATCCTCCATTTACGGCTGACACAACAACAGTTACATAGATCGGTGGCGTCCAAGTACTCGAATATCTTATGTGCTATTTCAATTGGCAAATTTCCAATTATATCCATGCTAGTAAAATACGTATAAAATTGATCTCTGAAAAACAATATTAGTCATTAACAATGTGTATAAAGCAATTGTTGTTACCTTTAAATAAAAATGACTTACAATCTTCTGAACAGTCGAACTGCCGCAAATGCTGAGAACGTTTTGCCGGAGTAAAACTCTAAGGACTAGCCAAGAAGAGAACTGAAAGTCAGATCTAAATTTAGATAAGGTTCAGCCAGTGGTCTGTAGATAGGGTAAAAGATAGCTCATTCACAGAAAGATAAGTTTAATAGATAGATAAAAACATACTTTCTATTTATACCTAGAGAAACGATAATCTGCCTGAAATTTACTTGCCAAATGATGATTGGAAGTGTATGCATTTCTTTCAGAGTTTTGAACAACTTTAATTCTTGCTTATTTAGCTTTCCAATCAGATTGATTTAATTATTCTTATCTAGTAAGTAAAATCTTTTTATATTTTTGTCATAATATATTCAATGGTAATAATAAAATGCTTTTAAAACAAATTAATCATTAAAAAAAATTCAATCGTCCAGTTTTGCATTGAGACTTCTTTCAAGTACTTCAACAAGGGGGCAAACCACCTTACACAACTTTTGATGTGTTTTTATCAGCTTTCACATGTCACGTAATGCTTGTACGAGTGTCGTGGAGGGCCAACAAAGAAAAACTTATTAATTGTCATTAAGATTTCGGAAGGATTTACTATTTAATGCCTTCATCAGGACTACGTTAGAAACAATTACAAACAATTTTATATAAAATTCATACACATTAGAAAAATACAACACTATATCTTAATTCAATTAATTAAGGTTTTAAGTTGAGATAAAAAAGTCAGTGTCACGAGCGGGATTCGAACCCACGACCTTCTTGATACGCCCCAATCTACCACTTGAGATATCGTGTACTCGGGCACTAACTTCCCATCTCAACCCCACCTTTTGAATTTTCCCTCCTTTTTGCCACGCGTCACGACATTTGAAAAATTCAAAAGGTGGGGTTGAGGTGGGAAGTTAGTGCCCGAGTAGATCGAAGTCACGATAGCTCAAGTGGTTGAGTACCGGCCAAAGGTCGTGGGTTCGAGTCTCGTTCGTGACACTTTTTTTATCTCAACTTAAAACCTTAATTAATAGAACGGTATTAATTGGTCAATCGGACCACGAAAATTAATGAATTTAGAGATTATAACTTAAATTGAAGTAAAGAACATTAAAAACATTTGTAGCGTTCTTGTGGATAGCAGTTGTAGCTTGACAATTTTGAAGATTTTCTTTGTCATCTTCCTCCATGATGCTCATACAACACATGACACCTTTCAATACTTTTTATACTTTTCTCAATTAAAATTAAAATTTTATTAAAACGACAAACGCAAGATGGGTGCCCTAACCACATGGCCACTGTGGTCCCTATTTTTGAAAATATCGTATTTAATGTAACAAAAGGGTTATAAAATAATTTATAAGTAGCTGATACATAGGAGAAGGAGAATGGTCTACTAATAAATACAACATTTCTGACAGGAAAATTCAAATATATATTTTTATATCAGAATCTATTACAATTAATTAAAATATAGTAATATATATCTTAATAATATATTTTTACAAATACAATTTTAAATCCTGATACCTGTAGAAAAGATTTTATTTTTGTACAAGAGGGGGTGGAGTGGCTATGTTCTAACTGTTCGAATAACCCCCTCTTTTGTGGCCTGTCAGATCGTTTCGTTTAATTTTCTCGAGTGTATGTTGTTGTCGACAGACAAAAAAAAGGCTGTTTGCCCTAAAGAATCACCCTCTTAGCATCCTATTTGTGCCTTTAGTCGAAATTTACTGTTATTATTATTTTTTTCTTTCTTCAGGATTAAGTATTTAAAAATTCCAATTGAAATTTAAATAACAAAGTAATATAATAATATTATTATAGATAAGTGTCAGTCAAAAAAGAAAAGAAGAAAACAAAACAAAAAATGAGTAATCAAGTATTGTAAAGAATGAAAGATAAAATATAATCAAAACTTTAACAAATAATACAACTAACATCTAAATAAATATATTTAAATACTAAAAACAAAAGAAGATTAGTTTTTATCTTTTTTTTTCAGAAACAAAAAATAAAAATAAAAATAAAATAATTGATGTGAGCCCGCAGGTATATACAACTGTGTTATGTACATTTTATGGGTTAATGACATCAGGGAGAAATATAAAGAGAGTGAAGGGTCAAAGGAGAGATAGTTAAGAGGGATTTGACTAGTGGGCTCTAGAGGTCTGATTCTCCATAAAGCGCTGTTGAGAATGACATATAGTCAAGGGCTCCGGGCACGGCGTTGGGTCCCTTGAACGGAGGCATCCTCTTGATGCAGTACTCGGCCTGATCTGGAGGAAGCTCCCTCCTTAGCTCATCAGGAAGGATGTACGGCTGTATAAAAAAAAAAAAAATCAATATTTATCATAAAAATATGTTTTATATACATACCTTGTCTGCAGCGAGAATACGGAAAGAGTCGATGACTTGCTCGGCTGTGTCAGTATCGGTCGATTCCCTTGTCATGAAATCAAGGAAGGCATCAAAATGGACATAACCGGTATTGTTGGGATCAACCACTGCAAGTATTCTATGGAAATCTATTTCTCCCTAAAAACAATAATATTTGGTTAGGGAACATCTTAACATGATGTAAAATAAGTCCAAAGGATTTGTCAACAATTCAGTTTTATGCATTTTATGGTTTGAAGCATGTTTATATAGTTATTATTGTTTAAACACTCTGAAAAGGGATGAGTTCAATTATTTTTGTCAGTTTTGTTTGAGATCTTATATTTTTAATAATGATTTTGCTCATTTAAAATGAAAGGAAAATTAGAGCATTTTAAATTTTGTCCTTGGATTTTGATTTATATGGGCTCCAATCCTATGTACATACTCACAAACATGTGCCTAGTTGAGCCCCTGATATCCCTACATTTCCGAAGTATCACATATCTCCACAGCAATCTTGATTGACTGCGGAACGGAATCCTGCCTGACACTGCTTGTAAAACCCTTCTATCACAAGATACCAGGACAAACAACTGTTTATCATGGACTCCAGAAGTTTACTAAGGAAGGTTGTCAGGGAGAGTGGCCTGTAACTTGTGACCAGATTCGGGTACCTGCTCATCTTAAGGGCGGGAATGACCAACGCCTCATACCAATGGTCGAGTTGATGAAGAATGCCAAAAAGCTTTCCTTTGCACCCTGGGAAAGGTTCTCAGCATTTCAAATGGGATACCTGTTCATCCAATGCTTGAATTCTGGGAGTGCCCCAATATGGTCATCAATTCTCCAACTGTCTGCAGACTCTCTCTCTCAAAGTCAATCTGGATTCGTTCTGTTTCAGTTTTCATGCTACGAAACCTATCAAAGTAAGCCTCGGAACTTGACATGGCTGCAAAGTATCGTGCCGATTCCCCAGCAACAACTTCGGCCTCGATTACATTCCTATGTTCCGTACTCAGTACTGGTACTGACAGAAATAGAGCCCTGTTGCTTCACCAGGCTTCCCAGTTGACGTACGAGAGTTGATGCCTTCCATGCACTTTCCTAGAGATTCCATTTTGGAGTTGGACAGTGTACACCACTCCCTGGCTTTTTTCACTTTATACATAATCAGTTTATCCTCTGTTGGATACCTTCTGAAGAACTGAAAAGCTCGCTTTTACTCTGTGTATGCACAAGCATAGTCTTCGTTCCACCAAGGTAAGCGAGGTCTACAAGCAGACCCATGCGCAGGGGAATCACCTGCGAAACCTTCTCAAAGAGCCAGAAAGTATGAAATGTCACTAACACAGAGAAAAGCGGCCAGTCAGCCTGCTGGTCCACCTAACCAGAAGCTTTGGAATAGAACTCCTCAAGACAATTGTGAGTGGTCTCTTAAATGGATTTTATTCTAACTAAAAATTAAATTTTAATCATTTTTAAGTAAGATATGTTTTGATTATTACTTGTCTATCCTTTCCAATGCTGTAGCCTAGTGAGACGAGGCAAGATTTGAATTCCTCAGGTGCGAGTCTGCCTGTTCTGTTCTTGTCGAAGTGGTTGAAAGAAGCTCTAAATTCGTTCAACTGTTCCTGTGTAATACCCTTAGAATCTCTGGTCAAAATCTGGTTCTCGACCTCGTTGATGTTCCTGTTGATAGAAGTGAGCAGCTGTTCCCAACCGACTCGCAAGGTCTCCATAGTGTATTGCGTGTACCTGATTATTCAATGAAAAAGTGCAAATGAGTAAAGATGAAACAACATTTCCATTATTAAATTTTACCTGTTTTCAAAGATCATGCCTTCTTGTACAGCCTGGTGGATCTTTTCAAGATCTTCAATGTGTGGTTTGTAAGCATAGACACCTTGTTCATACTCTTTGAGTCTGTGAAGTTGATCTTCCAAGGATCCCTTTTTATATTAAAAAAATTGAATTAAAAATGTGATTTTTTGTTTGTTTTTCTTTGAAGTAAAAACTACCTGAAGACCCATTCCAATAGCAGTAACAGCATCCATTTGACGTTCGATCCACGGTCCAACTTGATTGGCCTTTTCAGCAAATTGTCTTCGCAATGTCTCATTGTCTAAGAAACTAGTTGAGGAAATTTTATGTACCAATATTTTACATCCAATTTGAAATATAATGTTTAAAAATTTGCTCTTTATTTATTTTTTCAGCTAATATAAGTTTATAATATAGATGCTTTCCAAGGAGAAAAGCCCTCAAATGTTTCCATGAGAAACTTAATTTGTTTTTATTAATGCTGGTGCAACTATAATACATTTATTTATATACAAATTAAGCTTTAGTTTCTTATACAAAAAAATTTTATGAAATGCCCTATTTTTTATGACAAGTTTTACAGATGATCCAAAATAAAATTAAAAATAAGTTCCAGTGGTTTAAAGGAACAGCTGAAACAAATCTTATTTGTTTCCAAATGTTCTGAATTCTAAGACAAAGCAAGTATTTTTTTAAATTGTGTTTTTTCAATTGATTTATTTTATTTAAGCAGTTCATAAAGTTGTTTAAAAAAATGTTTACTGCTCTAAATGACTAAAAATTGTGACTCAAAGTATTTATAGTGGTTGAAAATTTTTGAAATAGTAGTTTTGAATATGAAAAAGGATACTCTGTTGTTTCCTTAGTTCAGCTTGTAGAGTTGAGTCCCTTTGAGGAACAAGTTGTCTAACGTCATTCCATTTCAAAGTCAAATCCTAATAAATGAAAATACACCAATAAGAAATAAACGTTAAATTAAAATATGAAATTTTCTTTCAGGCACTTACACTGGCAGTAAGAGTAGTGTATGGATTTTCGAGGCCTCCAGGGATCTGATACTTGTGAACGGTTGATTCGACTTCCTTGACTAGAGATACAATGCTTGTGTATTCTTTATCAGCTTCTCCAAGGGTGGCTTTGAATTGAGAGTGAGCTTCCAACAAGCCTTGGATCTCGTCCATTGTGTGGACGATGAACATGTCTACAAGATCTTCCCTGGTTCCGTCCAACCAGTTGTTGAATGGCTGATCAAGAAACAATAAATTCATAAAGCTTTTCGGTATTACTTTTATTTTTATATTTACTTACAGCAGCCCTCTTGGCAAACTCAAGATGGAGAACATCGATCTTCTCTAGGATCTTTTCAGCATCATCGAGGTTCTGTCTGCGGTGTCCGGTGAGATTGCCAAGCCTGTCCCACTGGTCACAGATGCGTTTGCAGCGAGCATTAACAGTATCACAATCGTGATACCTCAAAGCACTGAAACAAATTTGACCAAAATGTTATAATATTCCATGCTATAATAATCATTGTTTATCGCTAAATAATACTAACAACTACTTTTTTTCTTCCGCTATGTACTTACTCATCGTCGGAAGAGCATGCTCGTCTTTTGTAAACCACAAAACACGATTCCGTGTAAAGTAAGCATGAGAAATATACATGCTAATAAAATATATTTATAAAGGAATCCTTAACTTAGTTGAGAGTTGTTGATCATTTCAATAGTAAACTTACTTGAGTTCTCCTGCGATAGCAGCGATCTGCTCGACACGGTCTTGGTGAGCGGCAAGGTCGCTCTCGAAGGCTTCATGTTTCTTCTTCAGTGCCTTGACTTCATTAAGACGACACTGCCTAAAGTCAGAGCTTTGTAACATTTCCTCCTTGCCTCTGGTCCATTCTTCATGTATATCAGCTTTATGCTTGAATTTCTGGGCTAGATGTTCCAACCTTTCTAATCTGAAATGACATAATTTGATGTTTTAGTAATGTAATAGTATTGTAACGGATTTATAAACAAACCTCATCATTTCAGAAAGGAGCCATTCTTCAAATGACTTTTCAGCTGTTTCAAGTCCTTTCCATGCATTTGCAATATCCTGTGGGGAAAAGTGATCTTTCAGCATGTCAGCTGTTTGAGTCTTGTTATATTAATCAGCGAGACTTACCGAAACCATCTTTCCTTCAGTTGGCATGTAAGCAGGTCTGTTGGACAGACGCAATTTGGTCTGGAGTGTGTTGAAATTGGTCTCGAGCTTGGCCTTCTGCTCGACACGTGGAGGCTTCAATTTGCGCCTGTAAGTCCTGTATTCTTCAAGTTTCTTCTGAACCCCGGCAAGGGAGTTATCAGTGACACGGCTCTCCAACCACGGCATGGTACGCCTGATCCACTCCAAGAGCTGAGATAAATTAAATTAGATCCTATTTTGTAATTAAATTTACAATTCAATCTTACATCACTGGCGAGGCGTTCGTATTCCTCCATAAGACGTTCATTCTCCTGGTTCACTTTGAGAACCTTACAGATTCTATTAGCAGCAGTTTCAGCCTAAATAAATTTTTAACTTTTTTAAAACTATTTGTTAAAAAAAATTGTAAAATCTAATGTTATATTCAGTCATAGTAAATTAGAAGATCTAAAATATTTATTTAAGCATAACACAAATTATTTATATGCAAGATAATTAGTTATTTTATTATTTTAATAATACATTTTTGGTACTGTTTCACAAGAAGTATTATTGTTCAGTCACAATATTCTGCAAATAGTTCTATTTATTTAAAATAAATTGAGATCTTCTTATTTGTTAAAAAATTTAGCATGCAAATGGTCATGAATATAAACTTGAAATTTTTAATTATCTTTTATTAGATTGTCTAGCAATAAAAGCAAGAAGGCAAAATATTTTAAATGTATACTATTCAGTTAAGTTTGATACCTTTTGCGCTCCAGAGAAGCAGTGATAGTATGACGAGACGTATGTCATAATAGCACGTTCGTCAGGCATCGCAGTATTTGTCATGTCTGGCAATCAAACACAACGCAAAACAAAAGATAACGCAAATAATTAGTCACAGGTATGAGGAGAAAATATGTTAGGTACAAAAACTAAACATACAAAAATTCAATACAGTTAGCAGGTTGTTAGAATCAAATCGAAAACAAAAATTATAACAAACAATTTTTATTTTCACGCTTTTCTACCTGCTGGGCACCCTGGAAAGCGTGGTAATAGCAAGACACATAGGTCATAATGGCGCGTTCATCTGGCTTTGGCGTGTTGATCAAGTCTAACAGGAAATAAAGACAATTAAATTTTGGAACTCTGCTAGCAAAGGCTTATATTTAGAAAAATGTCTATGATGAAAAACATTATAATTTTAAACCGTTAAATTTCAAAAACCTATACTCTCAAAATGGAAAAATTAATGTTTTCGATGAAACTTCCCCATTACCAATACTAAACAGCATTGATAAAACATTTCACAAAGTTGTAGGGTAAGAGTGATCAATTATTTTACATTCTATCTCCTAGGGAATGAAAAAATACAGCGATGCTGCCTTTGCTTGAAATCTAGAGAATTTTATGTTTAAACCATTATAGTTTTAAATTAATTATTGATTTTTTTCTGTTCTTAAATAAAATAAAAATGTCCTAATAATACTAAATTACTTACAACGTACCAACCCACAAGAATTCAAACAGGCCTTAAAAGCTGAAAACCAAGCTCCAAATTAAAAAAAATTGATAAAGCTTAACCGAGCTTATCAATTAATTCTTAAATTATTTATCATGAAACAATCGTTATTCCTTTAAGATTTGCATATGTCTAAATCATTTCCTGAGTTTTCAGGCAGCTTTGAAGCCTCAAATCCAATGACAAATATAATTTTTTAAATGCATGTTTAAAGAAATTTACTGTATGTTTTGCCTGAAAAAAATGTTAAATGATTATATACATGTTTCATTCTGTTTTCATTAGAGTGTACTGTAAAAATAATATTATTAGTTTTTGACAGTTCAAACAACTGACTTAAAGGATTAATTGATTTTAATTAAATTTTGGTTATAATTCATTAACTGAAGAGGTTATTGAGGTAAAGGTAAATGAACGGTTGGGTGGTCCAAAATTTGAAAGGACGTTATGGGTTTCAGAAAAATGTCTGCCCCTTAGTGTCCAAATCACTTCAGCGTTCATTAAAGAATAATTTTATTAATTTTGAATTTTTTAGGGTATGCTAGGATTATCGATTATTTGACTTTTTAGAAAATATGCATGACACAGCAAGCATGTCCGTACAGTTTAATATTCCAATATTTAGGTCAAATCACGTGAGATTTCATGGTATATAATCAATACAAAAAAAAAATTGACCGAACCGTTCGCCATTTTTCAAGACTGTAATTAATTTTAACACCACTAACTTCCGAAGCTATGGAATTTCGCGAATACATTTTTTAAACTTTGGGCGCGAAGAGTGGGTGATAAATATCAAGTAATAAAAATGGATATGCCTATGTGCATAGCGAACGAGGCAAGGTCGTATAATTACGGCCTAATCTCTTCCTTTTAATCGGCTTTCTCTTTTTTATTTATTTGTCGAGAGCTCACCTTCCGGATCCAACATGCGGGGGATGTCAAGGTACTTCTCGGCCACATCGAAAGCCGTGTTCAGGTTCTGCAGAGGGTTGTCCTTCGACAGCTTGTTGTAGTCGATGAGGTCCGGCCTGTGGCGATGGATGAGAGCGCAGAAAGCGAGACCGTCTTTGAAGCTGAAACAAAAATGTCGAAACGTGTTTTTAAAAGTAGAACAGAAAAATCATTTTTGGCAGTTAACAGTGATGTTTGCCCGTAGAAAAGTTGTTTCCTGCTATGAACTAATTTGTCGTGATAGTGAATTGTGCGTGTTTCTTCTTGATGTGTGATTATAAATCCTATAGTTGGGAACCTATCAGTATCCTAGCTATTTTCTTTTATTATAAATACTACGTAACATTATGAAAAAAGAACTGTAATCCTTTACGGTTTACAAGAGTACAAAAATAACAAGATGGACAAAATAACGCATATAATTACAGTGGCTGAGCAGGTCTGTGGCCGGCAAAACTATATTTGATGTAAAAACACTTTGAGTGAGTAGAAATACTTTGATTGAATATAAAAAATATTTTTTTGCATTGTATAAATTCATTTTTTTCACACCCTACATGTATATGTTAAATGTAAACAATGTTTGTAAATCCCAGGCCCTGAAGATGATCTCAGTAAAGATCGAAACGTTGGCACGATAAAGAAAATGTTTTTCTGAAACCTACGTCACACCAGACGCATCTCACGATTTCGGAATAACTATATTTCATATTTTTTTGAAAAATCTAAGTCTTAATAAACTATATCGAAATGGTAATGGAAGAATAAGTGTTTTGTTCAATTTTTTTTAAAAAGATAGTTAGTTTCTTCGAATCCCATTTTACTAGAGGTAATAATGAGGTAATATGTACTTGATATTGATAAAAACATTTTGTTCCTCTTTACAGTTTATGTGTGGTGATTAGTGAACGTTAATCGGTGATTATTCAGAGATTGTGAGATGCGGTCTGGTGTGATAAAGGTTTCAGAAAAACATTTTCTTTATCGTGCTAACGTTTCGATCTTTATTGAGATCATCTTCGGGGCTCAAAGTGTTGCCCTCTCAACACGACACGCAAGAATGGCACAATTACACAGAAAACAAACATTTTCAATTTATGTAATTCATTGTTTAAAATGGTTTTTTGGTATTTACGTTGTAAGAGAGTTGAACTGTTCTTAATAATTGTAATAATAATACTTTATTTGGCAATTATTATAAATAACAAAATATACCCTTTTAAAAAACAAGTATTTACCGCAATGGAATATCCGTCGGCTTGGAGTCGAAATTACTGATAAAATATTGATAAAAGATAATAAAATAGCCAATGAAATGTAATAATATTCTCTGGGTTTTATAACAAAATTAAAAATAAAAAGAAAATAATCTGGTGAACACCGAACAAAATAGATTCATATTCCATTAATTAAGTAAAAATTTCTCCTAATAAATAAAAAATTGAACTCTTGTGCCAGTTCCCAGCGGTAAAACCAGGCGTGACGAGCGAACTGCATTACGTGACGGCTTGGCTCATTTAAAAGTTTGACTAGATTTTCTTCCGAGAGCACAGCACTACCCAAATATGAAGAACGCATCTCGGACAAAATGGTACATTTAGCCAAAAAGTGCACGATAGTTTCTTTCTCTTGTATTGCACAGAGAGCACATTTTTATATACCTCTGGCAGCCTATCAAGCTGGTAGAGTTAAGGAACAGAAGTTCACCTCGGAGTTTGAAGAGCCAGGGGAGATCCGTCAGTTTTAGTGTTCTTCCATATTTCTCATTCGTCAAGCAGAACACATCGAGATTTCGGTAAGCCTTTTGTACAAAAGAAACCTCTCTGTTGTCAGCATTCGCTCCAAAAACCTCTTGTTATCGCTAGACCTTATACTGGAAAGGATGCCCTGGAATTCTGCCATCCAATCAGAAATGTTATCTCGAGAGAATCGGAAAGAAGGATGTATCTGACAAAGAACTCCGGTGCTCATACCAGAAAATATTTTTCTTTATTATCTCCTGAGCTGTAATTTTCTTGTAACGGTCACCAGGGAGTTTTAGGATTTAGTATACATATTTAAAATGGAGCTTTAACGTGTGAAGAAATAAGGGATTAACACGGGTTTCTATACATAGCTTGTAATTTGGGGATACAAGAAGGCAAGGCAAACAATTACTTGATGAAGTACTAAGTAAATATATGGTAAATTAAGAACAGTTCTTTATATTTAATTTAGCAAGAACTGAAAAATTAAGAACTTGTGTTTAGTCTTAATTTCAAACAATGAGAACCAGATTGATTTATTGATTTTCGAGCATGAAAATAATCTATAAAAAAAAAGTGTGTGGTGGTTAGTGGCCGTTAGTCAATGATTATTCGGAGATCGTGAGATGCGGTCCGGTGTGACGTAGGTTTTAGAAAAACATTTTCTTTATCGTGCCAACGTTTCGATCTTTATTGAGATCATCTTCAGGGCTCAAATTATTTGTTTTCTGCGTAAATGTGTCATTCTTTGACAGTGTCAGTGAACACGACACACAAGAATGACACAATTACGCAGAAAACATATACTTTGAGCCCTGAAGATGATCTCAGTAAGATCGAAACGTTGGCACGATAAAGAAAATGTTTTTCTAAAACCTACGCTACACCAGACCGCATCTCACGATCTCCAAATAATCATTTATAATAAAGTTTTAAGTCGTGTTTCCTGGCTGATTTTAAATCAGTGGACTTAATATTAATAGGTAATAACTGTGAGGACGCACACACCATAGTAGAACTTTTTATTGTAATAATTTAACCGTGGAAATATGTATAGATATATTATATAAATGTTTACTTAGCTAAGATTAAGCGCCTTCCTCCATTTAACAGCATTATTTTAAACTAGATAAATTATTGTCACATTGCAATGATATATTAGACGACATGAACTTTTTATTTTTTGTTTAACTAATTTATCAGTTATGTTGTTGAAACATATTTCTGTAACTGCAAAACCACTGAAACCTCATCAACTTTGGATTTATCTAGGCAGTAATACATTCTTTTAATAATCTTATTTATCTGATTGGACAATATTAAACTAGTTCGGGTACTGAATTATTTTAAATTATTAAATGAATTATTAAAAAAATTGATACAATATTTTAATATGGTTTAATCTAGAAAGTAGGACAAGAGAAATTTATCTGAAAAGTCAAATTTTTTTAGTTAAGTAACACGGTTCACTTCGTTAATCCTATCTGTTTATCCGAAGAAATCATAATGTACTTTCGAAAATATAATGTTTCTTTTGTTCAACATGTCAGCTGCGTATATTGCTCGTTAATATAAAAATTAGTCCGATCTCATCTACTTTAACTTTCACAATGACTTGTGAGATATTCTTTGAAACTCTTGTTTACTAATTTGTCTACCGTCATTATCAACTTTCATCCACTTTTGCCCTTCACTTCTCAGAGGTTCGGAACATCCCAATTTTCAATTCACACATCATTTTCCACTCTTAATCTTGACGCTTTCGACATTTATTAAGGCGTTTTCGATTACATTAAACACAGGTTTGTAAGACGTTCTCAGATGTGTTCTGAGATAGTTTTTGAATTCATTAGTAAAACATGATTAATTTCATCCAATCTTTTTTTCGCACATGACTGAAGAGAGAAATACATGTACAGATAATTTAACTTGGCTGAAAAATTACATGATTATATGGTGATCATTGTGGATAAGGATAAGCCCAACAATGACCAATGACTACTGAAAAGCAACAGAAATTTCTGTTAGATGCAATCAAACAATTATTTTATATAAGGCAAATCTTTTTTGACTAATTTTACCTAATTGTGCGTTAAACTAATCATTTACTTAAATCTTCAATGTCAGACTAATTAAGCCTAGGTTCTGCTGTTACTGATTAAAGAGCGTAGGATAACCCTTTAATTTAGTAAATTCGAAATATGCTAAAGCAGGTTTTTCTGATAGAACAAGATTCAAACAGAACTACTTTCAATTGCGAAAAAGTGGGCCCTGTGAGGCCGAAATACCTATTTATTACCGGGCACCTATGATCGCGGATGGCTGGTTCTGTTAATAGCAACTCGCAGGGGTCACTCGGCTGTGAAGCAATAAATCGTATAGGAAATACAATCTGCGGAAATAAATAAATAGTACATGTTTTCCGTGTTTTTTTCCCGCTATTAATAATAGGAAGTCTGTGGAAAGTCGAACGTTTCAAAATACTCTCAATAGAGGACGGGGAAAATTCGCTTCTTTCGTTTGAGTTTTGTAACTATTCGCCGTTCTAAATTAGATATTTTTAAGAAAGCTCCTTCTAAAACATTGCATTTTCATTAGAAAAATTTATATTAACATTAATAGATTTTGTATAATGAAGAATCAGTTTTAAAAGAAATTCTCATGGAAAATATTAATTTTGTTACAGCAATGCCGAAAGATAAAGAAAATCTTTTGAAAAATCTTATTTTCCTGAAAACGTCTAACATATTTATGTATAAGAAATTTATTTGTTAATCAATTTTCACGTATAACAATTTTTTAAATTTACTTATATGTATATAAGGCCAAAGCATTTTTTCTATTATTCCTTATTTGTTTAGCAGTTATAATTGACCTATTAATTATTTCAATTAATACTTTAATATACTTTATATGAAAGGTCTTGTTTGAGATGAAAGCTGAAGGTCGTGGGTTCGAATCCCCTTTTGAACCAAGACCTTGGATAAGAAGTATAATTGTTTATTTTATTTCCTTAATCATTCAGGCTTTTATGGATCAAAAATATTATGTAATAATAAATTTATGAAATATTCCTATTGTCTGAAATAATTTTTAAATTATCGAAGTTGTATAAAAGAAAAAGGTATTATTGAATCACCAGTTTAATTTTTATACGCTTCTCCCTTCGTATATTATCTTTTTTGAATTCTTTTGGAATTTCTTACGGATATTTTATAAATTAGAATTTTATGTTTATTTATTCATACTTTTTTATAACCTTCCAGTGCTATATGAATTCCTAGTTCGGCTTTTTTTTATACATATCCTGCAACTTCCTTTGAGCTTTGGCGTACATTTTCGTGTTTTTTTGTGGCGGATTTATGCTTTTTGCTTCC